GACCTTTCCAATCGTCCTCCCCCCGGTCCTAGACAACCTTCGGTTTCTCGTTGGGTGTCCCTAGTCCTGGCAAAAACTAGGGATGCGGGCCTTAATCGAGACCTTTTGAAGGCACTCTCGCCTTCCTTCTCAAAACCTCTCGCAATCAAAAACACATAAGTATATATGTATACTTAATATTCGCTCAGCTCTTTCTGCAGTCTAGTACAGAAAGGCTAGGTCTCCATCTTGGCCCACCATAGCCTGGCTGATCGGACCAGGACTACGGCCCACCGCATTGTTATTTAGCAGCAGTACCCCTCGTTGGTTACGCAACGATAGGTTTCCTCCTGATAAGCATTCAATCAGGATTCTCCCAAAAAAAAATTATCAACCATCACTATCCCGCGGAGTAATTTCACTGGGGCGGGCACCCCCCCTTAAACTCTTACCCACTCGGTTTCGCAGCCAGGTTGCGCCGGCTAGCAGCCATCCAATGGGGTTACGCCCTAGAGGTACTAACTTCTTTTCCGTTAGCTTGGCCTTTCTTCAATATGTCTCAGAATTAGCACAGGTGGTTAGGCGGGGCGTCGCAAAACAAAATCACTGGCCCACTGCGCGATACGCAGGGGTCCGAAGGCATTTACCAGCTCTCCCTCAATAGGCATGGCATCCTCACGCATCAAACAACTCGCCATGCCATAAATTAGTTTACTCACCTCTTAGGGTGAGTCTTCCAACCATAGACCATTCCCCTTTTCCAAAAATCCAAGGGGCTCTCATCATAAATAAAACACCCGCTCTTCCAAAAATCACGAAGGGTCTCGCCACATAACAAAACACTCCCTCTTCCAAAAATCACGAGGGGTCTTATCATAACCCACATTGTCACAAAAGCATCCCCTTCTCCAAAATCCAAGGGGGCTTATCATAAACAAAATCACTGAGAGACCATCTTATGGGTCCTCATCACAACTTAGGCATTCAATAATCAACATGATAGGCATTTTGAGCCTCTTGGGTTCATAAATCTTCAAAATCCTCACAACCTTTCACAGACGGACTGCACTTCCTCCCGTTATACTCCGCTCTATCAGTTGCCCGTGGGCAAGTCGCACAAGTATACGAGGAGTAGACAGTTTTACTTACAATCATATTCACAATACCCAAGATACATAAAAAGTTTTTCACACATTGTCCTACAAACTCATTATACATCAGAGTATAACCACACATGTGAGAGAGACAAGTGATCGTCACATATAAGAATGGTCCCTGAAAGAAACCTCATCATGATATACACTCAGGGAAATAAAATGTCTCACACAGAAAAAAATGTCTCGAAATCATAACTCACTCAGCTCAAGCCACACCAAACCCACACTGACAACTACCCCTAGAATACATGTCAGATCTGTCTCTCAAACGCCAGGGCGTAAGCCACCTATAATATATACATGCCTCATCTAGATTACCCTGATCCTCAAGTTTCCAGCTCAGTAGGAACATTAGAGTTCAGATCTAGACTAGTAACAATCCTCATAAAAGCCCTCTAGGTCTAAGAGGGTATCACACAGAACCTAAACTGATGCCTCACAAGATACTCGCTCACTTATATAGACAAACCGACCCTACCTCTTCAACTCCTCCTAGTTTTGCCTATATAACTGAGCCTTAAGTCCATCTGCGGACTTCTCTACTATCCTACCCTTCCTATCATACATCTTACCCCCTGCCTCTGAGACCTTTCCTTCTGCCTTATCCTCAAGGAACTCGAGACAGTCCAGAGAATGATGCACGTCCCTCTTGCAGTAGAAACATAGTTGATCGACCTTCCTCTTGAACTTCTTCTTCTTGGGTTGAGGAGGTGGTGATGAGGAAGATCATACCAAGGTACTGACAACCCCCTGCTGCTCTATCCTAGGAGCTGCGGTACTAACGACCTCCTGCTGCTCCATTCCAGGAACCGGTCCCCCAGACCCAGATCCTGTAGCCCAAAATCCCAGTCTGCTCCTCAAATCCCCTGTCACCGGGACGTACTCAGGTGTGTCCAACCTCTGAGATCTCTTCTCGAGTGTCTCTCCTGGCACTGCCATGGGCTGCTCCTCAATCTCCTCTGGCCCATACTCAGGCGTGCCCCTCGCTCCTCAACCTCTGGCTCCCGCTCCGGCTCCTCCTCTCTCCTGGCTAGGGCCTTCCGTCCTCCCCGAGACGGTCTCGTCTCCCTGGGCTCAGGGTCCCTTAGCCTCTGACTCCTCTGACGCCTCTCAACTCTGGGCTGAGGGGGCTCTGGTCGTCGAAAGGCCTCTCTCAGATGCGCCCTGCAGCTCTCCCAGTCCCGGGCCATGTCCCTGACCTGCGTAGCTAGTGCCCTCTCCGCCTTTCTGGTCCAGAGGGATAACGTCCTCGCTCACTCATCTCTCGGTATACCCTGCCCCTGCATGAACCACTCGAAAGCAGGGATGAAGTCTGCCACGTTTCCGATCTCTAGACGGATCGGCCTGCCATCTGGTCCCACAGGCGAGGGTCGCAGCTCCTGCATCCTCCACTCCACCTCT